GTCTCACCCTTGAACCACTGAAGTCACCTGCTTGCCCCACAAGTATGTTCTCAACACAAAGTCACCATGTCCCTCCTCTGCCCACAGGCCATGAGTGGCTCCCGCCTCAGAGTAAAAGCCTAAGCTGTCACACAGCCCACCAGGCTGCAGATCTGTGCCACCTCTAAATTTCCCAGCTCTCCCCCTCACTTTCTGTGCTCCAGCCCCACTCACCACCTCTTTGCTCTCCCACCCTTCAGGCTCCCTCTGATCTCAGGGCCCTTGCACTGGCCTTGCCAGCTCCTCCCACATGTCCACACTGCCCACGCCCTCACCTCTTCTGTGCCCCTGCCAAGAGGTCACCTCCTTGCCCTTCCTATCTCAGGGGCTCCTCCCCCAGCACATCCCATATCCTTCGCCCCTTTCTTTCCCTGCATAAGCACACAGGTGGGCAATATTCAGCACCACCTAACTTCTGTCCTGTGGGATGCTTTCAGTGTTGTGAGATCTTTCAATTTACCAACAGTGCCGGGCATGGTGGCGCACACCTGTAATCCCAGCACTCAGGAAGCTGAGGCAGGAGGATCACTGTGAGTTCAAGGCCAGCCTGGGCCACACAGAGTTCAAGGTTAGCCTGCACTATTACATAGGGAGAACCTATCTTATAATAATTTTTTTAAAAAATACCAAAAGATGTCAAAATGCAGCTTGCTTTCTTTCTCTCTCTCTCTCTTTTTTTTTTTTTTTTTTTTTGTCTTTTTGAGACAGTCTCGCTATGCAGTTCAGGCTGGTCTTGAGCTCACTTTGTCATCCAGACTGGCCTCGAACTCGCAATGATACTCCTGCCTCAGGCTCCCTAGTGCTGGGATTACAGGCATGCACCACCACACACAGCCTCTCTTTTCCTTTTCTTTCTTTCTTTTCTTTCTCCTGTATTTGCAAAATCTCCCAATTCCTAAACATCAGCCACAAATTCATATCGAAAAGCCAAGGTGCTGGCCATATAAGACACATGGCAGGGCCCGGCCTCCAAGTTAAAAATAAAAAAGGGCTGGGATGTAATTCAGTGCAAAGGCTCTGGGTTCGATCTCCAGAACCTTACAAAAGAAAAAACACACGAGGCCACCTGCTACCTGCATGTTTTCAGCCACAGCCTTAGCCCTCTCTTAGAACCAGCCTGTTTTTTTTGTTTGCTTGTCTGGGCTTTTGGGTTTTTTTGAAACAGGGTTTCCCTATGCAGTCCAGGCTGGCCTTGAACTTGTGGCGACCCTCCTGCCTCGGCCTTCTGAGTGCTAGGATTACAGGTGTTCACCACTATGCCCGGCACTACCCTGTCATTTTACAGATGGCAAAACTGTGACCTGTAAGATGAAAAAGGGCTGTTTTCCATGGGGACTCAAGCCCCCAACTCTAACCCAAATGTGCTCCAAAAGCCATTTTCTGCCCAACTTCAGTCCCTCACTGCCCCCAGTCTCTTAACAGTAACCCGGCCCCCGACTGCCTCGTCCTACCCCCGAAGGAGGCACTTCATCCTCGTCCAGCGGAATGACAAACTTCTTCCTCGCAGGTGGCCCTGCAGGTTTGGGCGCCCCCTCCTCGTCCTTCCCAGGGTCCATCTGGGGCCTGAGAGGGAAGACATGCAGGCAGGAGCTCGTGCATCCGTTCTCCCAGCAGAAACCCCACTCACACCCGTCCCCCCGAGTGAAATTTCCGCGTTCCCTAGCATCAAGGCCCTAGTACCAGGAGCCCACGGCTCCTAAAGCCCCGCCTACCTTAGGATCGCCACGCCTCTCGCGGGCCCCTGGACCTATTCGCCCCGCCCCCGCTAACCCCGCCGGTTGCTGGCCCGGCGCCGGGACGCACTCCCGCTCCGGGCCACAGCAGTCTCTCAGACACTACACTGATTGGCCTGCATGGCTGCCAATCACCTCCCATGGTCTCTAACCTCCTGCCCATCTAGCTGATACCTCCGGGTTTCAGTCCTGCGAGAACTCACCTGCTCGACCCCAGGCCCAGAAGCGGGGGGGAAAAAAAATGCAGGGGAATCAAGGCGTTCCACCTCCAGCTCGCCCAACCTACCCCCTGGGTCCCCGCACTTCCGGCTTCTCTGGCCCACGGTCTGCCTCACTGCTCTCTACTGGGGTAGAGCATAGAGAGGGTATGGCCCTGCGCTGCTCTCTATGGTTATGGAGGACTGTGGAGGTTGGGGGAAGAAAGAGGCGTGGTCTATGAGATTGAGAGTCTCAAGGGCCAAGGGGTTGAGTTCCACTACCCTCTTGAACGCCTGCAGTCTTCCCCGGATCCAGAAAGGGCTCATTGGAGAAGAGGCGTCCGGAGATAAAACTAGCTACCCCTTCCCCAGTACGGAGAGAACTGAGTTTGAATCCCAGTCTTCGATTGACTTGGGCTCAGTTTCCCCATTCATTCATTTACTCCACACAGTCCCCCAAGCGCCTCCCGGATTCCCGGTATCGCGCGGGGCTGTGCTAGTGACACTGGGGGCGTCCAGTCCAGTGGGAGAGACGTGACGACCCCCGCGGGCAGCGCTGGGCTGGAAACCCCACAGGGCAGTGGGATGGGTGGGTGGGGGCGCCTGACCCTGGCCGGCGCAGGAGGAAGGGACATCGGAAGTGGGCCTGGGGATGAGTTAGTCTTAGTCATTTCCTGAGAGAGTAGTATCACACTGTTCCGACTCGTAGCTCCCTGATTACTAAGGAAATAGGACATTTCTGAGTGAGGTTATTGGTCTTGTGTATTTGTGTTCCAGGAGCTGCTTGCTCATATCCTTTGCCCATTTTTTAAATGGGTTAGATGCCTTTTTATTGCGATTAATTTATAAGAGTACTTTTTGGATCCCACTTCTAATTCTTAGTCAGCTCCATATATTGAATGTGTTTCCTCCTCGTTGTGCTTTTTTTTTTTTTTTTCTTTTGACAGTCTCGCTATGTAGCTCAGGCTGTCCTTGAACTCACTGTGCAGTCCAGGCTGACCTCAAATAGTAATCCCTCTGCCTCAGCCTCCCAAGTGCTGGGATCACAGGTGTGCATTTCCATGCCTGGCCTTCGTTTGTGCTCTATTTTATTTTTTATTTTTATTTATTTTTATTGTTTTTTTGTTTTTTTTCCAGTATCGGGAATCGAACTCAAGACCTTGGGCTTGCCAGGCAGGTGCTGTGCCGCTGAGCTAAACCCCCAGCCCCGTGCTCTATTTTAACTTTTTAATTTTATGTAGAAGTTTCTCCCTCTCCTTCTCTCTCCTCCCTTTTTCAGGATTGGGTATTGAACCCAGATCCTTTCCAATGATCTGCCTTCCCAGCTCTTCCACCCTACCTATCTTCCTTCCTTTCCTTTCACTTGAGATGAGATCTCCTTAAACAACCAAATTGCCCAACCTGGGCTTGAACTTTCCATCTTCTTGCTTAAGGTTCCTAGAGCACACCACTACATCCCATCTATTTGGACTTTTTAGTGTTCATTCACGCTATTTCCTCCTGGCTTTTCCCCTTAGTGTGTTGTTTTAAGAGATCTTGCAAATTCTAAGGCCGTGCGTATGTATATATATTATTGCTTTTTAAAAAATACTTTCCTCCAGGTGTGGTGGCTCATATCTGTGATCCCAGCACTCAGGAGGCTGAGGCAGGAGGATTGCCATGAATTTGAAGCCAGCATGGACTATACAGTGAGTTCAAGTCTAGCCACAACTACATAGCAAGACCATGCCTCAAAATACAAAAAATACAAAAAAAAATGTATAAGTATGCCAGTCATATTGGATTGGGTCCACCCTAATGAACTCATTTTAATCTAATGATTTCCATAAAGACCCTGTTTCCAATTAAGTTCACATAGTGAAGCACTGAGGGTTTAGGGCTTCAGTTTTTTTGGGATTTTTGTTGTTTTGTTGTTGTTTAGTCTTTCTTTTTTTTTTTTTTTTTTGTCCTTTGAGACAGAGTTTCGCTATGTACTTCAGGCCTTAAACTCACTTTGTAGCCTACGCTGGTCTCGAACTTGCAACAATCATCCTGCCTCAGCCT